CCATCCTGGTGGATGTATTTATGGCAAGCCTGGAGCGGAAGATCGGCGATAACCTCACCAGAAATGTTCTGTACAAACGATACGTGGATGACATGTTGCTCATAGCAGAATCAAAGGCGGAGGCGTTGAATGTATTCCAAAGCTTGTATAACGCCCACCCAAATATAAAGTTAACAATGCAACATGAAGAAAATGATACCTTGTCCTTCTTGGATGTAAACATGCAACGTAGGACCGATGGAAGCTTTGGTCGATCTATTCATCGAAAACGCACGTGGACTGGTCAATATCGCAGTTCACCAGCTTCGTCACCATCCGTTACAGACGAGGGCTAATGAGGACACTTTATGACCGCGCGAGAAAAATTTGTACGCCTGATTACATCGCAGATGAAATGCTTAAACTGAATAACACTCTCCAGGACAATGGTACCCGAGCTCATTCGTGAAAAAGTATGGCATTGCACATCCAAAGGTAGAGCGACTGATATCCGTACCGAAGTGTAAGGTTGTCCTACAACTACCGTTCAAGGGTGATAATGTAAGTAATTTGTTGGAGCACCGCCTAAGCTCATCCATCAAACAAACATTCAGCACAGCCGAATCAGTTTTCGTCTACGTGACAGAATACCGGCTCCTTCAGTCAAGCAACCCCTTCCGCAGTAAGCCAAATCCCATCAACTTTGCCAATTCGTCTGTGGGTGCTCGGTCACCTACCTAGGCAGAACCGAGCGGCAGCTTAGACAAAGAGTAGCCGAATACATCCCTGTGTGGGTCAACAAACTGGTGAACGAATCATACTCGAATGATCAAGGTCAAGGGTCAACCCAACCAGCGTCATCGATCGCTCATCACTTGCTAGAGACTGGGCAGCAAGTGAATGTGACTACCGCATCTAAAAGTGTCTTCATCACGCAAACTCTCGGTTGCTGCAGTTTTCTGAGAGGATTGCTATAAAATGATGGAAGCTTGAACTTTGCAAGCAGAAAGAGTTATTTGTAACCCTAGTCCTATTTTGTGGAAAAATGGACGCAGATAACACCAACAGCTAATCCATGATAAATGTTACTTATTAGTTTGCATTTGGTCTAGCTTAATGCATCAAGTCTGAGTTTTCATGACAAAGCGAAGAGCAGACCACTTCAACTGCAAAAAATGCAGAGTGTTTTCGTCGGGACCCGATCGTTTCAGATTGGAACAAATGGTTTATGGATGAATCTAGTGACCACGGAGTAGTTGAGAAAGTGTGCAATTGCTTGTCCAAAGTTTTGAATATTCAAATGAGTTTACCGTCCTCTCACGAACCGCTATATTCAAGTAGTTATACATATTGTTTTGTATTGATATGATTATGAAACACTGAAATCGAGTTTGTTTGTTTGTGTTTTCATCTCATGTTCCGTGACAATAGCCAGGCAAACGTCTCTGCTCAGTCGATTTTCTGCTTCCCTATTTTGAACCGGTTACGGCTCTTTGATTCTCCAAAAATGTATGTGCAGGTTGGAACAGTGATGGATTGAGTGGTATGAAGGAAGTGTACGAACTCACTTTGTCTACAACATGGCCATTTAGAATGGTTGAATAACCTTCGAATTCATAGAATGGATGAAATTAGTGCGTGCGATATCCACTCATTTTGTGCTTGACGTGCGGCAGATTTTCTGTATGCCGATTTATCAGCATATCTGTGTTTAACCTGCATGGTCTGCTGTTAAATCTGTCACTCCATACTTGACCGTCGTTTGAACAAAAATAAATCAGTTGACCCAAGTGGGGTACGACAAGGTTGCCCTATCTCTCCGTTTCTCTTCAACGTTGCCATAGATGATGTTCCACAAAACCGGTTATATGACGTAACGAACGCTGGCGTGGAGCTTCTTCCTGGAGACAGAGTGGTAAACTTCGAGTATGGCGATGATATTGCCTTACTCGGTGTCAACGCACCAACAAATCAGGAGTCGATAAACCGTTTGGCAATTGAGGTTACTCGCTATGGTATGTCCTTTGCACCTTCAAAGTGCAGTGTTGTTGCAAGATTGGCAGGGACCCATTCCTGCACTTTCGTTGGGTAATGACACTCTGGAAGTAGTCGAAGGCCTTGTCTACCTTGGGAGTTGCATAA